TCATTTATTAGTTATTGATTTTTTGATTATTGGTTCACTCTCTTATTATACATATCTTTAGATTTTCAATTTTTAATGTTAGTTTAAGTCAGATTGTTTTTAGGAATTGGTCCACATCATCTAGTTTATCTTATTTTTTACATACAGTTGTTATAGTATTCTGAGAAAATCCTTTTTTTTTTTTCCTTTTCTTTTTTTTTTTTTTTAATTCTAAATTGATGCCCCAAGTGTCATTTCTGACTCTGGTAATTTCAATCTTCTTTGTCTGTCTGTCTGCCTCTCCTCTCTCTCTTTTGCCCTCTCTGATTAGATTTAATGGTCAGTTTTGTTAATCTTTTTAAGGAAAATGAAATTCATTTTATGTTCACTGGTTCTTTTATCTCAGTTCTGCTATGTTTGTATTTAAATTTTTTTCTACTTAACACATAAATTTAGATACATTTTTAGTAAAAATTACAAATGTCAGAAGAATGTCAGTTTTGTCACAATGTATGTTGTGTGACGTTTACATCATCATTCCATCCATCTTTTGGTTCTTATTTTTGTGTTTCACTCTCATTCCTGACCTTTATGTGATTTTGAATATAAAGTGAATTCCTTGTACACAGCTGGATCTTTTTTATGCAGTACTAGCTATTAAACCCATGTGTTCTTTTCAACTGAAGTATGTTGTCAGCCCTTTTTATTTTTAAAAAATATTTATTTTTTTTTTAGTTTTTTTAGGTGGACACAATATCTTTATTTTATTTTTATGTGGTGCTGAGAATTGAACCCAGTGACTCACACATGCTAGGTGAGCGTGTTACCACTTGAACCACATCCCCAGCTCCCCTTTTTATTTTTTGAATAGGATATTGACAAGTTGCTGAGGCTGGCCTCCAACTGCCATCCTCCTATCCCAGTCTCCTTAGTTTATTATTTTTCACGTTCATATTTATTTTTAGTGTCTTCCTTAAAATTGGAGAGTTGGATTTATTTTCATTTAAAGCAATATTTCTGGTATTTTGCTGTTCATTTTCTTTATGCTCTATGCTTTGTGTTGCATCGTTGCAGTTTTTTTCTCATGTTAGAATATGGTTTTGTTTTTCTTAGTTTTAATTAATATTCTAACCTTACAAAATGAATTTGCATTTTTATCTACAAGATTACAAAATTCTGCTTCTTTACAGCCATGTCTCTCAACTCTGATCCATAGTTTCATGACAGGCTATTTTTATAAAATGTTTATGTGCACAATGGTTTGAATGGAGTTTAGCCCACAAGGGTTTATTATGCATTGCATACTTAGCTCTTAATGTGGTAGTGTTGAGCTGATTGAATCTTTAAGTAGGGAGAGGTGGAGTCTAGTGCATGATTATTAAGTCATTGGGCCATCACACTCAGAAGAGACTAATTCTAGTGTCTTGCAGTGAGTTCTTGAAAAAGTAAGATTATGACAAGTCAAGACTATCTCTAACTTCTACCTGCCTATGTCATTTTCCCCATCCCACATACTCATGCCATGATGTCATCCACCATATTATAATGCAGAAAACTGGGTACCAATTAGAAATCAAATTGATGGGACCCTAGATATTGGTCTTCCAGTCCCAAAATTGTGAGTTAAATAAGTCTTGTTTTCCTGGTACAGTGCCCAGTACTTTTTTTTTCTTTTAGAGAGAGAGAGAGAGAGAGAGAGAGAGAGAGAGAGAATTTTTAATATTTATTTTTTAGTTCTCGGTGGACACACATCTTTATTTTATTTTTATGTGGTGCTGAGGATCCAGGCACGCATGCCAAGTGAGCGTACTACCACTTTAGCCACATCCCCAGCTCCGCGCAGTACTTTTTATAGCATCAGGAAATGAGATAATATGTGCTGTTCAACATAAATTGGTGAGTATTGCTTTTGCATTTATACTTTCAAATAAAATAGAATATAGAAGTCACAAGTTCAAAATGCTGTTGTACTATTTTCTATATTTATCTACTTAGCTCTCTTTAATATCACTTCTTATTATTTTATGGTATTGTCTTTTACCATTCCATTTAAGTTTAGTGAGTTATTTGGCATTTCTTGTAGTACTTGTTTACCGAAAAGAAAAAAAAAGCTTCTCATTTTTTTATACCTTTATTTATTTATTTATTTAATTTTTGTGGTACTGAGGATCAAAACCAGGGCCTCACACGTGCTAGGTAAGTACTCTACCACTGAGCCACAACCCCAGCCCCAAGCTTCTCATTTTTTATTACATGAGAGCATATAGATTTTTCCTTTTCTTTCTTTTTGATGCTGGTGACTGTATTCATTGTGCCACCCCCATGGCGTGCATTACCTATTTTCCCTCCATTTCCAGTGCATAGACTGCCTGCATCCTAATGATTACTAGCCATTTTGGTTATCATATCTGCTGTCATGCTATTACAGATTTTGTGTTTCACTGACTAATGTTACATGGCAAGAGCCCCAGAGCATAAAAGCAATGATTCTTGAAATACACATAAGAGCATCTGTAAAAGCTGTTAATTCACATCATCTTAAGAAGATGAGCACAATAGTACATTTTAGATAGAAAAACTACATTCACTGATATTTTATTAATTATTTTTATTATTATTAATTGTTATTAGTTACTGTCAACATTTTACTGTGCCTCATTTTTTAATTAACCTTATTGTAGGTATGTGCACATAGGAGAAAGCAGTTGTCTTCATCAGCTTTTTCACTGCTGCAACTAAAAGAGCCAAAAAGAACAATGGCAAAAGAGGAAAAGTTTATTTGGGAGCTCACAGTTTCAGAGGGCTCAGTCTATAGAAGTCTGGCTCCATTCCTCCAGGGATCAAGGTGAGGAAGAACATCATGATAGAAGAGTGGGGTGGAAGGAAGTGTCTCATTCCATAATCAGGAAGCAGAGAGATTCTACTCTCCAGATATAAAATATATACCCCAAAGCCATGCCCCCAGAGACCCACCTCTTCCAGTCATACCCAGTCAGTTACCACTCAGGCAATCCAATCACAGAGTTAATTCACTGATTGGGTTAAGAATCTTATAACCCAATTATTTCTCATCTACACCTTGTATTGTCTCATAAAAGAGCTTTCAGGGGACACCTCACATCCAAACCAGAACAGTAGTCTATATTTTTAGGTACTATCAGCAATCTCAGGCATTCGCAGGTGATCAAGAAATATGTTTCTCACAGACGAATTGGGGGTACTGTGTAATTTTTTTCATTTTGATTTCATTTAGTTTGATACCAGAGAAGAAAACTTCTGATCAGTTAATAGTAGAAATAACAATTATGCCAAATGTTATAAATATACAGGATAAAGTGTAATTGTGAGATTTTGTATGTAGATAGCACTGATATATGAAACTGCTCCACAAGTAAAGAAAGACACTAACCCTTTATAGGATATTGGGGTGAGATAGAATATGGCCTATTTTATCTGAATTCTTCTGGTTTATCAAGATGACTCTGGAGAAGTCCTTATCACTCCCAGGGGCAATCTGACTTCCCTGAGATGATGGTTTGTGCTTTTGAGGTAGCCTCAGTTCCTGTTGTGAGGTAATTTCTCCCACTTGGGGGAGTAATCACATCATGGAGTCATTTTTGTGAACTGCTTTGGTTTCTGGAATTCAAAGTGACTGAGCATTAATGGCAGTGAATGAGAATTCTTGGCATCTCTTCAGGGGTTCTGGAAAAAGGTATTATGTTGTAAAAGATTGTAGTTGAATATCCCTGAAACTTTTGAAAGTATTTTATTCATCTTTCCCAGGCATCCTAAGTCTCAAAGGGTGACACAGTATGTAAATTCAGGGCCACCCAAGCTTGCACTAGGATTTTGGAATAGCACTCCTTAAATGAGTAACATGCTTGTAAAGCAGAGCTGACCAAGAACCCAACCAAAATGTAAAAAATACAGAACATAAAGACAGAGATGGCATGCTTTACCTTTCTTTTATTTACACTGAAGCCATCTACAGACCCATGTGATAAGTCAGCATATTTTAGTAAAGACAGTCTCTCTTAACTTCCTGTTATAATTTGTGGCTCAGGTTCACTTAAAATTTTGTGAGAGGTTCAGTGTGTAATAGGCCATAATGTAAGGCCTTGAAAGTGCATCTGTCCTTTGCTTTTGGTGATCTTTGACTGAGTCAGGGTAATCCTGTTTCAGTCTATGCAGTTCTTAGAGAATAGTCTAATGCCAGCCATCATATTTGGAAAGATTTTAACCACCATATATTCACAAAAACTCTCTATACTTTTGACTGAAGTAGTAATTGAAGATTTAGAAATCTGGGCTGATTATTATGTTCCTATGTTTCCTATACCTGTCTTCATTTCTCAGTAGATACAAAAAGGAGAAATAATTTAAATGTAATTTATGGGGATAAAAGTCTTTAAGTAATTTGAAATTTAATCACACTTCATAAATTAATTAAAAGAAATGTCCCACTATTTACCAAACAGTATCTCTTTTTTCTGTTACTTACAAACTGTCATAAAATGTAATTGAACACAGGTATAATTGATGGCAGGTAGGGTGTGACTGGGAGAGGGGGGTCCCTGGGGGCATGTTTTTGGGGTACATATTTTGTATCTGGAGAGTGAATTGAAAAAAAAAACAGTCACTGTTATATGGTAACAACATTCATCAACAATCTGAATAGAGTATTTGAAATATAGTTGTAAAGTCTTCAAAAACATACAGAATAAAATGGCTAGGGATGTGATTCAGTGGTAGACCATTTGTCTAGTGTGCTACAAGCCTGAGTTTAATCTCCACCACCATCACATCAATGAAAAATACAGATTAAAAATTCTCATTAATCTGGGCTGGGGATGTGGCTCAAGCGGTAACGTGCTCACCTGGTATGCATGGGGCGCTGGGTTCGATCCTCAGCACCACATAAAAATAAAATAAAGATGTATCCACCAAAAACTGAAAAATAAACATTAAAAAATTCTCTCTCTTCTCTCTCTCTCTCTCTCTCTCTCTCTCTCTCTCTCTCTCTCTCTTTAAAAATCTCATTAATCTGTCCTTCAACTTTGATATAATTAGCCAGAGGAAATTTATACTTTTATCAAGGTTTCAAGACTTGAGCGTATTTATTAATTTTTTGATTCATAATAAATATCTTCTCAGTGATAATGTCTGTACTATGCTGATATCTAAGGAGTTCCTTATTTCTATCACATCAACTACTAATGTCCGGTAAATTTTGAGCAACTATTCAAAAGTATTGCACACTCTATAAATTCAAATATTCTCTCTGATAATTACTCATATTCAGAAATGTATGGAGCATTGTGATTTTGCTCTACTTCCCACATATCAACATTTTCCTCAGTAATAAATATTTTCTTGATATGTAAGGCATGCATGTTACAGAGTTTTATGCAGACATTTTATGTATTTGGTTTTTAGGTAGTATTTTTTTTTAGGTTTGAGTAAAGCACTGATATGTTCTTGACACGTACAGGGCTTATTTTGAATACTAAATCTGTGCAGATTTGTAAGTTGGGAGCATTCATTAAAAGCTTTGTCACATTTTTTACATCTGTGGGGCAATTACTGCTATATTTTTGATATTTTAGAAAAGTTGAGTTTTGATTAAAAACTTTCAATATTTTTATTTTGCAATTGTATGTTTTCTTTCCAGTTTGAATTCTCTGATGATTGTACAGAATCAGATGTGACTGCATTACTATTACTGTCCTTGATGGAGTCTGCCTGCAAACAGGATATTCTGTCAAGGTATAGATAGGTAACAGCGGACATGCTTGAAAACGAGGTGTCTGCTGTCCTTGGGAGGACTTGCCTGCGAACGGGATGTTCTGCCAAGTGGGCTAGGAGGGCGCTGAGAAAAATTTTATTATCTGTTCTTAACAAAGAGCAGAGTTCAACATACTCCGGGCCGAGAGTAGATTAGCCATGAGAAGGGGTCACTTCTGATTAGAAAGTAAAACTTCTGTGTGCTATGTTTAATTAGCTGAAAGACCTGATTTATTGATGCTGGAAGGCTGCCTTCTTTGGTCACAATACTATAAAAAGATGGCTGTACACAATAAAGGACTTTTTTTTCTGCTGCTGCTTTGCTTGCTCTGCTTCTTCTTTCTTTCTCATGCTGACCTGCACGTGAATCACTGCAACAGGTGATCAATTACCTCACAACAAATGATTTTTACATTCTATAGATTTGTAAGGATTGTCTCAAGTACGAATTATCTGGTACTTGGTATCAGTTGAAGCATACTTAAAACTTTGCTACATTCTTTGCCTTTGTGTGGCTTTTATCCAGTATGATTTTTTTTCTGAAAAATAAGGCTTTGTCTAATAGGAAAAGCTTTCCCACATTCTTTGCATTTTTATGGCTTTTACTCAGTATGAATTTTGTGGTGTTGAATAAGGTCTGATCTTCGAATGAAACCATTGCCACATTCTTTACATAGGGTTTTGCCTAACAGTAAAAGCATTCCCACATTCTTTATATTGGTATGGCTTTTCTCCAGTATGAATTTTCTGGTGAATAATGAGGCTTGAGCTTTAAGTAAAGGCTTTGCCACATTTTTTACATTTGTATGGCTTTTCTCCAGTATGAATTCTCTGGTGTTGTGTAACATGTGATCTTTGATTAAAAGCTTTGCCACATTCTTTACATTTGTATGGTTTCTCTCCAGTGTGTATTCTCTGGTGCACAATAGGATGTTGCCTAACAGTAAAAGCTTTGCCACATTGTTTACGTTTGTATGGCTTCTCTTTGGTATGAAATCTCTGGTATTCAATGAGACTTTCAGTTGTATTCAAAGCTTGTTTACATTCCTTATATTTGTAATTATTTTCTTGAAAGCTTGTTCAATACTTCTTCTTGTTCCATACTTTTTGAGCATGGATTAAAAATGTTCTCACTTTTATCTTTATAAAGCTTTTTAAAATGATCACACAGATGTTTCCTAGGACTTAAAAAAGGATTACTTTTTATCAGTTTCACACAATTTTTATTGTTTTACACCAAAACATATATATTGCTATTTACTTAGGGCAGAGACCTGTCTACAGGTCTTGAAAGATTTATCATAAATGTAGAGGTATCTATATCTACATTTAGATTAAGCAATAGTAGGTAAGTACAAATCTTCCCACATTCATTCAAATTATATGCATTGGCACAAGGAGAAACTGTTCATTGAATCCTTTTTATAAAGTAACAATCAGACTGATAATAGTTAGAGAATTTCTTCTTCTTTTGTTTTAAAAAAATCTACAGAAATATTTGTGGACATTCTTTGCTACATTCTTTGCCTTTGTGTGGCTTTTATCCAGTATGATATATACTCAATGGTATATTTCAAAATATTCCAGTAACTCACTGAAGCATAAAATAGACTCCATAGCAAATTTCCCATTCTTTAGAGGAAGGATATGATTCCAAAAATGCTACACAGATAATTTAAAGGCACACAGATTCTCAAAAGTGACTGGCATATGTGCAGCTGTCTCTCCCCAGCTCAGCAGATGCCCCACATCCTGGCAATGCCACCAAACTTCTGACCCACTAGCACCTTCTTCTGGTTGGCAGGGGTCTCTGCAGGTGCAGGCCATGGTTGTGGCCACAACAAGTTGAAGCAGCCCTCATGAGGGCAAAGTGTGGGTTGCATCTCAGCTGGGCTTCTCAACTTTCAGCTCAAATTACCATCAAAGTGGCTATTGTTAAAAATCCCTGTATGTAATTAGCTCACTGAAATGAGTCAGAAGACACTTTGAATTTGTTGGTTGCACATGGCTTGGAATGCCCAGACTAGGGCCTCAGAAAAATCTAAGGGCAACAGTATTAAGTTTACTGGGGACATGTGTATGATCCGGGAAGTCTCTGGGTATGACACATGGAAAGATAATGCTGCTATGAATAAGAACAAACCTCATCCCACTCAAAAGCATAAAATGCACCGATCTTCTTGGATTTCATCTTGGAGTCTTGTTGCTATGGAAGATGAAGCAGTGCATGTCAGACGAAGATGCTGGAAAACATCTCTGAAGTGTGTGTAAAATAAAAACATGGAAGCCATTAGGCAGGAAAGTCTGGTATCTTAGGAACTCACAGTGGCAATACTGCTGTTTAGAGACTGCCCAGTACATGTGATATCCTACCTAGCTCTGTGTAAGTTCAGCACTGCACTGGAGATGGAATGAGCCATTGGAGACACATAGCCACATAGCCTCTGAGAGATGGGTGTATCTTCCAAGGATGCCAATCAACCTGTCTACAGCAAGACCTCTTCCACTGTAATCTTTATTTTATTTTATTTTCTGAGAGAGAGAGAGAGAGAGAATATTTTTTTCAATACTCATTTTTTTAGTTTTCAGGGGACACAACATCTTTATTTGTACGTAGTGCTGAGGATCCAACCCAGCGCCATGCGCATGCCAGGCGAGCATGCTACCGCTTGAGCCACATCCCCAGCCCCTTCCACTGTAATCTTATCCCTGCCATTGATGTACTCTCCTATAAATAAAGAACTAGCCATTTTCTAGTCATGTGTTTCAGTTCCTATGTGGACTAGGGAATCTATGAGGTGCTGCACCTCTTTGAAACTAATTTTTGGCTCTGTCTCTTCTTTCTTTAATAATTATTTCATCTTCTCAGGAGACTCATCACCTTCTGAGCAGAAAACTACCCTGGTGGGGTACAGTCCACACTATGATATAAAGTGATTCTGCTAAAGTATGAGTCTTAAATAGTGTTGAAAGTACATCACACAACTTGTAAGGTAATTAAAATTAGAAATAAATATTTATATTAATAATCTGCAGACTTTTATCTAACGTTCACTCATGTAGAGATCACTAAAAATTTTAAAACATAACTGATTAATTAGTATTTTATCACTGTTTTGATTTCTTTCATTAAAATGTTTATCTATTTTAATCATATTTTTAAAGCTGAGAAAACTGGTTGAATATTTTCCTAAAGGCATTTTTAAGACACAGCTTCATAAGAGCCTGTAAGCTTTGAACATATATCTATTTTCATACATCTTGTTGTATTTAAAAATCTGTGTATTGTGACTGGTTTTACACAAAGTACTGAATAGTGAAAATTATATAATTACAATTATGTAATTGAAAGTATTATCCAAACAAAAAGTGACTGGCATAAGTTGAGAAGTCAGCCTTATGTAATAATGTAACCTGATGACAGTGTAATTTTCATTATAAATAATTGTCATGCATTTGTTTTGTTCATTAAGACAAATTTTCTGAATTTCCCTCTCCACAATTTTCCATTCCTTGTTTAAAACTAAATATAGATTCCATACCTTCTCTTAATCAAGTTTTGCAAAAAATATTTTATTTCCTGCTCTCCTAAAAATTCTGGGTTTTGATGAGAAGACATACCTGAAAGAAATTAAAATAACAAATTATCCACTTACTATATTATGTAAATATATAAAATTTTATCAAAGGGGGGAATAACCAGAGAACAGTATAATCTAAGGCCATTCTTACTCAAGAAATATAAGAAATTTACAACAATATTTTTGAGAACTTCAAAAATCATCTTGCAAATTCAAAGCACCACAAATAAGAACAAACTCAAAGTGACTGTGTTACCACAACAATGTCAATTCACAGCCTCTCAGTTCAACTTTTTCAGATTCCACATCTGACTCAAATGTTGCAGGACTTGGCTGGGGATATAGCTCAGTTGGTAGAGTGCTTGCCTCACATGCACAAAGTCCTGGGTTCCATTCCTAGCAACACACACAAATAAAATGTTGCAGAAAATGACTTTATCCCATATATACTTTATGTTCCCTTGTGGTGAGTGTTACTTAGGATTGAACATAGGAGTGTTTTACCACTGAACTACATCAATAGAACTTTCTATATGTATTCTTTTGTTTAATGTAGGATATCACAAAGATGCTAAAGCTCATTTCAAACTTACAATCTTACTGTCACAGCTTCCCAAACAATACAGTTATATATCATTGATCCTGACCTAATTTTGTTTAGTTAGTTACTTCCAAACATTTTCCAAAATTACCATTATGCTGTATTTTAAGTGAAAAAAATCACAATAAAAATAACAGAACATGCAAAAAAGGGGAAAGTTGCCTCAAGGAAAGATATAATATAACACTAGTAAGTGAGAGTTAAGAAATTGAAAGTTATTAATCATCTAAGAAATGCCAAATAACCACTCAAAAGATGTTTAATGAACTAATTAGCAATGGAGAAAACTGAATAAAAATCAGAAAAAAAAACATAGCAATAGAAAAAGTAGAACTATACTAGGAATATTTTTTTAAGAAACAATGTCTGGGGCTGGCAAAGCATCTGCCTTGCATTCACAAAGCCCTGGGTTTGACCTCCAGTTCAAAAAAAAAAAAAAAAAAAAAGACCCCACCAAAACAAAACCAATAAGATTTTTAAAAGAAGAAGATGAAGAAAGAAACAATGTGATAAATTAGAAATGGTAGGAGGAAATGATATCCAATGTTAGACAATCAATTAAAAGATTTAAGGTAAAAAATTTATAAGGACACTTTTAGGGCTGGGGATGTGGCTCAAGTGGTAGCATGCTCACGTAGCATGTGAAAGGCACTGGGTTTGATTCTCAGTACCACATAAAAATAAAATGGAGATATTAAAAAAAATTTAAAAGAATTTATAAGAACACTTTTAGAATTCTTCATGAAAAAAATTTTGGTAGGAATAAGAAAAATAGAGATTTCATTTACAAAGATACTCCTATATGGTTAATAATTAATTTCTTAGCAGAAGACTTCCAGAAAGGAATTGGAGTATATAGTCATATGGACTGAAAGAAAAAAAAAGTCTACCTAGAATACTATATCCACCAATACTACTTTTTGAACATTAAGAAAAACATAGGCTTTCAAGGTATATAAATGCTCAAAAATTTCCTCACTTCTAGACCTGGTCTAAGAGAAATACTAAGTGGAATCCTTCCAAGAAAATAAATATGCACAGCAATACAAATCATATAATATTTGAAAGCTTTTGTGGAAAAGCAAAATATATACAAGTATAAATTCTATTTTATTGTCATTGTGGTACATAAAACATTTAAACCTACTATGGAATTTGAAAGGATAAAGCATAAAAAACTATCACAAACCTTTACTAATAGGTATAAATAATAAAAGCAGCTTGACATCAATAACAAATTATAAGGTCTGGGGATGTGGCTCAAGTGGTAGCACACTCGCCTGGCATGCGTGTGGCCCAGGTTCGACCCTCAGCACCACATACAAAGAGAGATGTTGTGTCTGCCGAAAACTAAAAAATAAATATTAAAAAATTCTCTCTCTCTCTCTCTCTCTCTCTCTCTCTCTCTCTATCTCTCTCTCTTTAAAAAAATAACAAATTATAAGAAGATATGTTAAGACAATGATTGCTTTAGAAAACCAAAGTTAGGTCAGTTTAAAATGGAGTGCAAACTAAGTACTTTAATTCTTTTTGTTGTTATTTTTAGTTATACATGACAGCAGAATGTATCTTGACATATCAAATATATGTGAAGTATAAGTACCCATTCCTTGGTTGTATATGATATGAAGTTACACTGGTGGTATATTTATATGTGAACATTGGAAAGTTATTTTCAATTCATTCTACTGTTTTTAAGTACTTTTTAAGTACACTATCACTTTTTAGAAAATTTTTTAGTTGTAGATGGACAAAATACCTTTATTTTATTTATTTATATGTGGTGCTGAGGATCAAACTCAGGGCCTCACACATGCTAAACAAGTGCTCTACCACAGAGCCAAAAATTCAGCCCCCATAAGTACTTTTATATAATCTGAATGTAATGACAAAATAGAGAAGATAAAAAAGGAAATATGGAAGAATCAAAATAACACCATAAAAACCTATAAACCACAAATTAAAGCAGTTTTTTAAAAAATTAGTACACAAAACTGTAAGAAATCAACAAAACTTGCAAAGTTACAGTAGCTAAGTTCTTCGTCATCAGTAATTTAAGCACAAATAAACTATTATGAAACACTAAGAAGAATACAAACATGACTAACAAGATTAAACATAAAAATGTTAATTATGTCAGAACTAAATCTACAGAAGATTGTCTTTAGATCAAAAGTCACAAATAGACCAAAAACAAAAGGATGAAAGAAATATTACATTCAAAATTTCAAAGATGGTAATAATTACATGAAAATAATCAGAGACATAGTAGAATATTATATAAAGATAAATGTGGCCAATCTCTGGAATACAGTAGTAGTAAATATATGTGTAACTCAAATCGTATTTCACAAAGATAGGAAACACTGAAAGAACTCATCATCATTGAAAGTAACAAAGTAATAGTAGGAGACATCCATTCCCAATAAATGCAAAGAATCAAAATAGCATTGGAATAGTACTCAGGGATTAGAAAACTTCAAAAAGTATTATAAACTAAATATGGCTAAAGAGGCAATCTTCTCAATAGTTAATAAAATGTTATCCAAAGGAGACCAGGTTTAAAGCTTAAAACAAATAATAACAGTTATTAAAAATATTGAAATTCCTTTCTAACATAAGGTAATTAGTTTAAAATCAAAAGTGGAAGTGATAACCAAAAATTCATAAGAATGAGTTCAAAGCCATATCCAGCAACTTAGCAAGGGTCTAAGCAATTCAGCAAGAAGCAGTCTCAAAATAAAAAATAACAAGGGCTTATGGCCAGGCATGGTAGCACAATCCTATCATCCCAGCAGTGTGGGAGGCTGAGACAGAAGGATCATGAGTTCAATGCCAACCTCAGAAAAGTGAGGCGCTAAACAACTCACTGAGACCATGTCTCTAAATAAAATACAAAATAAGGCTTGGGATGTGGCTCAGAGGGCAAGTGTCCCTGAGTCAATCCCCAGTACCCAAAAAAGAAGGGCTGTGGATGTAGTAGCTCAGAGGTTAAGCACCCTGATGTAATGTTTCTATAGCATCCAAAGCAATCTAAGAAGACCATATAATACCTATCAGATGTTCAACATTATTTTTTCAGAACAAAAATTTTGTGTAGTATCCAGGTTACATAAATAACTAAACATATTGATGAGGAAGATATATGTAACAAAACTGAAAGTACAACAATAAGCCCTCAATTTGATTGTCAAATCAAAATATATTTACAGATCTATGCTCATTACAACATTCAATAGAGACAATGTGGAAAGCCAATCAAATATCCTTTCTCATGAGTGCACAAAGGCAATTTGGAATGAACCATGAAAAGTTTTCAAACTTTGCCAGGAGCAGTGGTGCCCACCCATAATCCCAGGACTTCAGGAGGCCAAGACAGGAGAATCACAAGTTCAAAGCCAGCCTCAAAAATTGTGAGGTCCTGGGGCTGGGGTTGTAGCTCAGTGGTAGAGCACTCGCTTAACAATGTGAGGCCCTGGGTTCAATCCTCAGCACCACATATAAATAAATAAATAAATAAAGGCATTGTGTCCAACTACACCTAAAAAAAATAAATATATATGTTTTTAAAAATGGTGAGACCCTAAGCAACTCAGTGGGACCCTGTCTCTAAATAATTTTTTAAAAAAACAAGTCTGGTGAGGCAGCTCAGTGTTTGAAGTGTCCCTGAGTTTAATTCCCAGTGCAAAAAAAAAGTTTTCAAACTTTAAAAAGATAAGAAATTATATAATACCTACAATGATTAACCTTTAGGATAGTACGCTAAGAGAAATAAGTCATTCACAAAAAAACAAGTACCCTGTGATTCTACATATAAGATATCTAATGTAGCCAAACATACAGCCTGAAATGAGTGCATCAGGGATGGAAAGGTGAGAGACGAATGAGCATTTGTTTGGGGAAAAATGAATTTTACATTTATGTGATACAAACTTTGTATGTTACAAAACAATTTGAATCAATAATAGTGAACAGTACATTTAAAATGTATAAGACAGTAAGTTTAAGTAAGAATGGTTTTGATCACGACTAAAATTTGACAATATTAAAAAGATACACAGAATTCTGAAAATCTTTATCTTTAAAATGTGAAAGTCTTAGTACTAGAAAATAGATTCATCTATATAGAGATGGTGAATGTGCTAGTAATTCTAGCTACTTGAAAGTCTGAGGCAGATAATTGCAAATTAATCTTCAGCCACTTAGTAAGAATCTGTTTCAAAATAAAAGGAAAAAGGGGATGGAGATTTAGCTCAGTATTATAGCACCCCTGAGTTCAATTCTCAGTATACAAACATATGCCTATATGTATACATTTATACAATGAAATTTAGATAAATTATATGAATGATCACATGAACAGAGTAAACAATCAAGGCACTATATACAAATCATAAACAAAGCAGGGGTAATATTTATACATGTAAGTAAGAGCATATATAACTATATTAAAAATGGACATATGGTTCAAATACAATTTAATTTCACCCAATATAGTCCTCAAGTGAGAATTTCTATTCAATTAAAATATATAGGTGTAAAAACAGAAAGAACATTGAGTGATGTGAGAAAACCTACTGAACAACACTGAAGCTACTCCAAACAGTGCAATTCAAAAAGAGACACAAGAATTAGAGAAAATGTAACCCACAAAATTCTGCATAACAAAATTCTGCATTACTTTAGAAATCCTTCTTTTAAAAAATTGCAGTTATAGATTGACAGGATGTCATTATTTTATTTCTTTTTTTTTAAAGTGGTACTAAGGATCAAATCCAGTGCCTCACATGTGGGAGGCAAGCCCTCTGCCACTGATCTACAGCCCCAGCCCTAGAAATCCTTATTTAAACCATATTTATCAGCTATAATTTTATAGCCACAGGAGCAGGCATTGTGAATCACCGCTATTCATTATATGGCAGAAAATTTTACATAAAATCCAGTATAAGCATTCATAAAAAGCTTTGATGAAAAAAAATATGAATTAATTTTTAAATTATATTAAAGAAACTCTTCTAAGATATTAATACATTACTGTTATAGTTAAAGCTTTGTCCCAGGGTTGCATAAACTGACTTCCAGACCACTCACGTATAATCGAATCAAGCCTTTATTGAAGCACACCGGTGGTGGCTGACCAGAACATAAAGCTGTTCCCCTGATCAGCCCCGAACAATTGCAAGGGCACTCCTTATAAGCCCGAAAACTGCAAAAGGGATGTTCAGGGGGTCTAGCCAATGCAAGCAAGACAGGTTACAGAAGCGGGACATTGCAGTCAAGCGGAGGGAAGCCTAACCAATCACAGTTAGCCCAGTCACCCCAGTTACAGAAAGAGAGCCCCGTTACCCTAGTTACAGAAACAATGCCCTATGAGGTAGTTCCGTGTTCTTAGAGGTTTCTATAGCAAAAAGAAAAGAACATCTTGCCCCAGTCATGACTCTTCTACTTGGCATGGTTGTTTTACAGGATGAAATCATAAAATAAAATGGAGTCACATTTGCTCCTACTATCACATTACAATATTTTAACCTAGAGATATTCAGAAATATGCACTTGTTTCCTGGAGAGCCCCCCAAGATAAATAAACATCTGTCAGATTATGCAAATCCTCACAGGGATTAGGGAATACTTTGTTAATTTGAATGTAGAGAGATCACTAGAAAACACAAGATGGAGCTTAAAGAATTGGGAAGCATAGTAAATATAGGGCAGGGTATACTCTTTAATGAATGCAAGAGAAAGAAACCTAGGTGTGGAAAAATAATTTCTGCTGGATTTTAGCTTCTCATCATTTTAAGATGTGACTTCTTTTTTGAAATTTGGACAATTTATCTATATTCTTTGCTTCATTGATTACTATCCACATGGATATAGGGCTTCTGTCACTTTTCTCTTCAAATTCCAAGGTTATTGCTTTGGGGACAGAAAAGTGACCAAGGATGACTTAAAGACAGCAAGACATGTTTGATGGAAAATGAAATATACCTCATTTGTTATTTTCTTATAACTACTGATGTTTCTTCATGATATCCTCAATAGGAAGTAAAAAAGAGAAGATACCATAAAACATTCTACACAATTATTTTTCCAAATGTTTCTTTTTGGACAGAAACACTAAAATACTTCAGAACCATTTTCAACCTCCAGATTGTCAGCACTACTTTGCAAAGATAGGTTATACAATAAAAGAAAAATCTTTCACATTTTTTGTACATAAACAAATGCCCAATCTTCATCCTAAAAATAAGAATATGATACATTTTCATGCAGAATAGAAGCTGCCAAGAAATATTCTACAAAGGAAGAAAATGAAATATTGGTGGTGAATTAGGAATTCTGAGAGAAATTTAGGCTCACCCACAAAGACCAGGTTTCTACAAATCTCTAACATCACATTTCCATATAAAGTCTGCTGAGCAGGGTCCAGGCATTTCCATTCCTCTTCAGATAAATCAATGGCCACCTCCCTGAATGTCAATGGTTCCTGAAATAAAAATGAGTAAACACATATCACATCAACCATATGATCACTGACACAGTTTTTAATTTGACACAACTTGTAATGAGATTTAGAAGTGCTGGCTCTCACATAGGGGAGTGACCTCAATCATTCAATATGATAGTTTGTGGTGCTGGGAATTGAAGCCAGGGCCTTGTGCATGCAAGGCAAGCACAATACCAATTGAGCTATATTCCCATCCCCAATAATTAGTTATAAGCAGTAAAAATTGGTAAATAAATAAACCCAGAAAGCAGCACATGTGAAGCAAAACACTGAAGCAAAAAACTGGAAAAAAATTCCAACATAATCCTAATGGATAAATAACAGTTGCAGTAAGTTATTGCTTATTCAAAAGAAGCACATACAAACAAAGCAGTGATGCTTGAGATATACATAGTAAAAAAAAAAAAAACCTCATAGGACAGTGGTCACTCTGTGTGACAAGATATATGAGATCAATGAGACACTTTAAAACTTCCAACTGCCCACATATTTATTTGAATGGCAATCTCCAAAGTTGTCTATATTCTCACTTTTTAATCATACCATAAAATATGTACTTTATTTTTAAAAATATTCTTACTTCTTCAGACCATTATATCACAACTCATTTTTCAAACAATAAAATAAAAATTTTAACTATCAAATTACTACAAACACTTAGGAATTTGGCAATCGTATTCTATATATGAATTATATGGCATAAAGTTTTAACAAAATAAAAAGTAGAACAGAAAATTAAGTGAATAGACTATTAAATCCACATTTCCCAAGGAAATTGACACATCACGTTAAATCTTCCCAGATTTGGAGAACCATTCTCACTGTGAAACTGTATCCCTACATGGTTCATTTTGAAGTAGGGTGTGAGGGAATACTAAGCAAATAAGGGGAAAAAAATCTGAAAGGTTCTGGCACTCTAAATGCCTCCTTGACTGTGTAGAAATACTGCCTCTTCCAGGGTCTCAATTTTCACTAGTGAATGAACACACATCTAGAGTTTGTTCAAGATTATGATCTGTGATGTCTTTTTTCTGTAACAGCATTTTTTAAATTAGGGGTTTAACCCAGGGGCACTCTAACACTGAGATGCATTTACAGAACTTCTAATTTTTTTTTTTTGAGACAGAGACTCACAATGTTGCTTAGGGCCTTTCTAAATTACTGAGACTGGCCTTGATTTCCTGCCTCATTCTCCAACATCACTGGGATTACAGTGTGTGCCATCACATATACTCTGTAACAATTTTGATACCAAATTTGCAAAACAACCAATGTTCCAACAAATAGTTGTCCTATAATTCAATCCTGATACCCCTTAGTACAGATGCCACAACTTTGTGGTTCACTAGTATAGAATTTTACTAACTTGAAATGCCAGTTGCAAGCCCCAGAATAACACCTATATTTATGATCAGTTTTCTGTAAATTGGGGGTCTCTACAACTGCACTCCTAAGTTATATAAACTGATAGAACTACTCATGGAACAAAAGAGCACACTTATGTATACCAGGTTCTTATAAAATACATAAATCAGGAAGGTGGCAATAGAAAACATGCATAGAACATGAAAAATATCAGGAGAAGATGGGACACTGTATAGGCCATTTTAGGAAATAGCTGGTTGAGGATATTACCTCAAATTTTGGTGTTCTGCTGCAACAGTGAAGAGCCCCCTTCCCATTATGATTTAGAAGATCGTCACTACTTTATATATGGTGATTCAGTTATTCACTCTGCATATTCCCATTTTACTCCATCAAAAACATTTAGTTGAACACTTTTATACTCAGTGCTCAAAACATAATACTTGTGACAAAATGTAGCTTAATTCTCACCCCTATGTACAAACCTTAGAACATTGAGCCATCTTATGGCAGCCCAAACCAACATACACACCATTTAAAAAAAAAACTCCTAAGCTTTGGATGGCTTCAGGGTAAAAGAGTCTTTCATTTGGAATTTTTATTTATTTTTGTGGTAGTGGGGCATTCTACAACTGAGGTACATTCCTAGACCTTTAAATATATTTTTTCCTTTTGAGACAGGGTCTTACTAAGTTGCTTCACTATGCATAAACTTGTGAGCTTTCTGACTCAATCTCTAGGCAGTTGTGATTACAGGAATGTCCTATGATATATGACCAGCAAGATATCAATGTTCTACCCTCCTTTGATCCATTCACCTTCTTTTTTGCTCTTCCCTTTGAAAAGAAGCCCTTGACAGACTAAATTTTGCAATGCATCTATATCTTATATTTGATGATTTCCCAATATTGCAATACATAGTTAGAAAAAAGAAGTGGCACTTATTACCCATACCTGAATTTGTCTAATCTGACAGTCTAGAAATAGCTCCACAACAATGAAAATTATAGCCATAGATAGAATTAAGAACTAATTTAACCATCCATCAGTGATGTTCAGGCTCAAAATTTGACCTTAGTTTGAATATAATTTTATTCTATATATTTCCTCTTTGGAAACATTTTTTATCTTTCAAATATTAGTGATAAATTATATTTTATAGCTAATGAGCATGTTAGACTAAAATGAGAATTTCTGCATCTGCTATCCTATTTGCTTAAATAATCTGTGACCATCAAAATCTTGAGACACTACACTATGTCTTCCAATCTGCATGTAGTGAGTTTTGCCTTGAAGACTTCTGCAGAAACACACTAGGATTTTTTTCTAATTCTTTGACATAGTTTATTCTCCTTTCAAATTATGGCACATTATCATCTATCTTCCCTAGATGGATAAGAGGAAAGAAGATACAGATTATCTCTGCCTTTCTCTTCAGTTCCAGAATCTATGTGGCTGACCAGAAATGTGTTTCTGGGGGACCTGAACCAAACATCTGTGAAAAATAATATCAATATTCCAATATTGATCTATTTAGATGAAACCTATACAGCATATTCCTGTAATCTGTAGAAAATCCAGCAAGTCCAACAAGGTGCTTCAATCTCAAGCTGCTCTGTAAGAAGGGATGATTATACACAGGCTGGTATTCTCTAGGTTATTCAACAAACATGGCAGCTCTGGGTATCTTGGGTCAGCTTCATGCAATTCTTACACCCACAACCAGTCAAAGGCATGGCAGATACTGAAGAGACATCACACTCTAAAGTTTCTTAAGGGGGCCCCAAGCTTGCTTTCTATGCTTATAAAAGACAAATAAATGAGAGGCTCAAAGATATTTTATTTTAGTACCAAGGATTGAATTTAGAAGTGCTTAACCACTAAGCAACATTCCCCTGTTTTTATTTTTTTATTCTCAAACTTGTGAGCCTTCTGCCTCAGCCAACTAAAATGCTGGGATTATAGACATGCATCTTCATACCTGGCATTAGGTACAAATACTTTTTATAGAGTTTCATGTTATAATCCTCTTTCCTGTCACATGAAAGTACACACACACACACACACACACACACACACATACACACACTTTTTATTAATGTTATCTCAGAGAAAAAGGTGAATTAGCATGCTGTGTTATTTGAAATGTTCCACAGGGAAGCATACTTCATAATATAATGAATTAGCTGAGAAAAGATTGTTGTAGGGACAGATGAGGAAAGGCACCAGAGATAGCAGAAAACAGTTTTATTTGGCTGCAGCCAGGTTAAGAGGGCACAGCTTTTGCTGTAATCAATCAATCCACTGAACCCTGAGTTCAGATAGTTTCAGAATTTTATACCCAGCATATCAGGGGAAGAACTCAGAAGTTTCCAGTCTGAAAAAGTTCACATAAAGCAGCTTTTCTTTCACTGTTCTAGGCAAGTTAACCCTTCAAGGACAACACATGAGAAGGGGAAATCTTCTTCTCCCCTTTCTATCCTCCCCCTGCCAGCTGTTACCATGGAGCCCAGTGGTAACTTCTCTTACCTTAGAAATGTAGACATCTCTGTGAAGTCCCACCTCAAAGCCTTGTTTACATATTTCTACAACTACTATACTGAATACATGTTTGTGAAAAACTAGTAAGGAGATGTCCAGCACCTAGATTGCTGATTTCTTTCTGGCCAGTGGCCAAGTAAAACAGGGTGACATGAAAATAGGAAGTTTACCTACACTGAACTCTTTTGTAGAGACTCTTTTGCTGACAATTCTAAAATCAGCCATGGTGAAGATTTCTGGAGAATCCCAGTTAAGATTTTTCTGTGGAGAAAGGGGGTGCCACTACAAGATGACTTGTAGAAAAATCATGCTTACCATACACTTGGAAAATGCACTAAAAAAATAGGTAACACTTGAGAAGAAAAGAGAAACTGAAAACCCCATGACAACAGCTACTCCCAAATATGAATTTATTTTTTTTTTAGAGAGAGAGAGAGAATTTTTTAATATTTATTATTTTTCAGTTTTTGGTGGACACAACATCTTTATTTTATTTTATGTGGTGCTGAGGATTGAACCCAGCACCCCGCACATGCCAGGTGAGCACATTACTGCTTGAGCCACATCCCCAGCCCCGAAATATGAATTATTTACCTCAGTCAGAATTCTCATATCATGACCCTCTCCTTAACATCCACTCTGAAGGTGCATGGAAAGGAAGGTACAGAGTTAGTTTCAGGCCAGCCTGAGGTCACCAATCTGGCACAGAACAAAAATATAGTATCCTGAATATCAACCTCATTATGTGGGCCAGAGGTGACAGGCTCATTGATATTGAGTTCTATCAAATTTGGACTAGGGTTAACAGATGACAAAGTTGACCTCAGGTCAGGCAGGATGGCACACCCCCTATAATCCAAGCCACTCAGGATACTAAGGCAGGAGAATTGAGAGTTCAAAACCAGCCCCTGAAAACACCAGGTGCTAAGTAACTCAGTGAGACCTTGTCTCTAAATAAAATACAAAAAAAGGGCTGGGACTATTGCTCAGTGGTTGAGTGCCACTGAGTTTGGTACAAAACCAAACCAAAACAAAACAAAACAAAGCTGATCTCAGGAAATCACAGGTTCCCA